ACAGTGTCTAGTTTTACTGCACACATATTATGAAAATAAATTTGACTTCACATTACAGGATATTGTTTGAAGGACAGGTGGAGTATAATACTCCATTCCTTAAAACTTTGTCATTTTTTCATTTTTTATTTTAATCAATATTTATATAATTTCTCTCACCTTTAGACAAACCTCAATCACGGTTTTTATTTTACTATTTCGCGTATCGGCCGAACTTGGAAAGATTTGAGAGATGGATGAAGTATTATTCGCACACACAATTTTATATATACACGTAGGCCTGTCCACCTGGCTTGTTTCCGGAATATGAACCGGAACCAGATCGAATCAAAAGTAGCGATTTTTGAATTCACATTATTAACTTTCTATTTTGAATTCTAAAGTCAAACTTTATTGGGATAAGGGTCAGTTTGGTCCTCGAAGTTGCAAAAAAGGGGTCAAATAAGTCCTTATATAGAAGATTCTGTCCGGACGTGCCATTTGAGGTGGCTCCCGGTGGAATTTTTTGATGAAATTTTTTGAGCATCTTATTCATTAAGTCTAGTTTACTCATACCAAATTTCAGATAAAAATTCAATGGGGAAGACATTCAAATGAATTCTTGAAGATAACTGTGCCGTTAAAAGCGCTGTTATCTTCAAGAATTCATTTGAATGTCTTCCCGATTGAATTTTTAGCTGAAATTTGGTATGAGTAAACTAGACTTAATGAATAAGATGATCAAAACAAATTTATCACAAAATTCCACCGGGAGGCACCTCAAATGGCACGTCCGGACAGAATCTTCTATATAAGGACTTATTTGACGCCTTTTTTGCAACTTCGAGGACTAAACTGACCCTTTACTCAAACTTTATTATTAATTTTTTATAGAAAAATTGATAAGAATAATCTCACCTTTCATTGGTCTTCTCATAATAATCCCACATTTTTGTAGTCTCAGAATAATCCCACATTTACACCTCATCTTCTTTCATTGTACCCTAACATATTGACGACCTACCAATCTACCATAACAGGTTTTTTACTCTTTCTTTGAAAATCATATAAAATATTTCACCTTTCACTTTTTTATTATATCTTTATAAATGTGAGATTATTTATATAAGATTAAGGGTAAAAAACCTGGTATAGTAGGTCATCAACAGGTCAGGGTCCGATGAAAGAAGATGAGGTGCAAAGGTGGGATTATTCTGGGATTATGTAAATGTGGGATTATTATGAGAAGACCAGTGAAAGGTGAGATTATTCTTGTCAATTTTTCCTTTTTTTATTAATAATTTTAAGTTGTACTTCGTATTATTACATATTTTTTATTCTGAAAATAATTTTATATAATAATGTTGAAATTTTGAAGTGATAATTTAATATAATTTTTTTAGACATTAAATTTTGAATAATAATGGTCAAGTCAATGAAGTTTGATCATCAAAATAAACAAGGGTTGAGAGTTTCTTTTTGGGAAGGGATAGAGTGATATTTACATATCTATTCTAAATAAAACAAGGAACATATCTTAATGTTTGCCAGAAAAGATGTCAGCGTCATCGAATTTTCTGTCGGAAAATATGCATTCTGGTGGAAAAACCCTTAAATTGCAAATATTTAGTAGTTACGTGACTAAATTTGCAAGTCAGTAAAGTTGCAAGACTAGTAATGTAACAGACGCAGTCGAATGTTACGAGACTAAAATTGCAATTATCCCTAAATCATAAATATGTTTTAGAATCATAGTTGATACAGTATTTGATAATATAACCAATTTTAACATGTTAGCTTTTCTTTATTCCATTTCTAGAAAATTTCTTGAGAAGGTATATTAATTATAAAAAAGTTCTTTCTTTTTTATAGAGAAATTTAACTCGATACTCCGTAATATTTTCTTTGCATCACAGAAAAAGTACTAGTTATTTATCGTTAGTTATATTTACTTAATTTACATCTGTATGGAATTTTTTGTAAACTATTTTTATGTTTGACGATATGATATGATTTTTTTTACCTCGAGCCGAAATTCCGGGGTCTGTCCCTGTATTAGAAGATATCCATGAAGTTGTAAAATTTTCCATCATATTTCAGGCATTCTCAACTTAATTTATTTTGTTTATTCACTCGTTAGGTGGTTAGACAAGGCATGTATTAAAAGGGATGAAGGATTAATTAAGGAAAGTCCATGGAGGGTTTGTAGTGTGAGACAAGTGGATCAAGTGAAGACACTCATTTCAGTCATCCCAATATTTGCATGCACCATTGTGTTCAACACCATTCTTGCACAACTCCAAACATTCTCTGTCCAACAAGCAAGTACCATGAACACTAAACTCAGCAAAACCTTCAGCATCCCTCCGGCTTCTCTCCAAGCCATCCCTTACATCCTCCTCATCTTCCTTGTCCCTCTCTATGACACCGTCTTCATCCCCCTGGCCCGTAGAGTCAAGGGTCAGGGCAACAAAGATGGTGTCACGCCTTTGCAGCGAATAGGTCTTGGCCTATTCTGCGCGACCTTCTCCATGGTAGCCGCTGCTATCATGGAGAACAAGAGGAGAAACTTATCGTCCCACCGCGTCATCGTGTCTGTCTTTTGGATAACTCCGCAATACGTAATCTTTGGATTATCTGAAATGCTGACAGCGGTGGGGCTGATCGAGTTCTTCTACAAGCAGCCATTGAAGGGCATGCAAGCGTTCTCAACCGCCATAACATACTGCTCTTATTCCTTTGGTTTTTACCTTAGCTCGGTGTTGGTGTCTATTGTGAATAAGGTAACTAGGCGTTCCTCATCCCATGGTAGCGGTTGGCTATCCGACAATGATTTGAATAAGGACAGACTTGATCTCTTCTACTGGTTACTGGCAGCAATAAGCTTCCTTAACTTCCTCAACTATCTATTCTGGTCTGCATGGTACTCGCGAGTGCGGTCGTCACCATTCTCCTCAGCATCAGTCCTGTTTCATGATCATGAAGCCTTCAACTCTAATAATAAGCAAAGCATTGTAGGGTGGAATGATATGTAGAGTGTGCCTTCCCAAGTATAAATTGTTAGGTCATATTTGATCTGTATAGTAGTGATATGTATGTATTATATTATTGTAAGGTACACATAGTACTAGTGTATATATGCATGTGGACAAGGGGCGGAGCCAGGACACTGGGCCGGACTGGGCCAGTACAAAGAATATTTTTGAAAAAAAATTTACTCGGAATTTTTTACCTTAAAAATTTAGACATTTTTAAAATTTGGGCTGGGCTATGGCCATGGATGACCACCCCTGTCTACGTCCCTTCATGTGGTAGTACGATATGTATAAACTAGTACATTTAGTTCTACTTTCAACGTCCCTTCATATGGCTTAGTTCTAGCTACTAGCCATATTGTTTATAGTTTTCATTCTTTGTGAATAGTAACACTAGTTATTGCAATATACGTATATTACTCGAATACTAACACTAGATATTGCAATATACTTCGTATATTACTCCTTACTACGTATATACGTATACGGTCCTACGGAGCACATGCAAATGTTTTGAAAATGTATCCTCTCATGTAAAAAGCAAGTTAAGTTAATGTGATGCATCATCACATTTAAGGTTTAAGAGTTTAAATGTGTCAATAATGTATCAAGTTGATTAAAGACGGGATGGTATTTATTCCGCCAGTGCAAAAAAGTACGCATCAACTTCTTTATACTTTAGCATCAAAATCAGGTAAAAATTAAATTCTATCCGTAGGGAGAAGATGGTTAGCGTGAAATTAAAAGGGATTTTATATTTCTATATTATTATCATAGAATCATTAGAATGTATAATGGTAATGCAGACTTCTATATAAGGAATTGGGAAATTTACCGGGATATAACTAAAACTCAATGTGTTTCTCAATCTATGACCTAACTATTTTTTATATCTTTGTATGACCAAAAATCCAAAAATAAATAGAAAATCCGTTTTTATTTAAATGTTTAATGACGAACATACCCTTTTTTAAAATATGTGCATTCTCCAATAATTTCGTCCAATTATAATTACTGCACTTTATATTGTTATTACTGCACGACATTACTGCACAACATTACTACATATCCGGTAATTATCACTTCACTTCCGCCAAAATTAATTCTCTTCTCATCCACTTTATGAAATTATTTATGGTTTTTATTTTTTAATTTTTTAGATTTAATAATTTTATTATTTTACATCTAATTGAGTATATCGCATTTCATGGCGATGTTACTGCACTATTGGGCATATTCAATGCACAACAAAGTTCCTTAATGCATTCATTCACTGTCATGTACAACACATATATTGTCATATTCACTGTCATAATTATTATCATATTCACTGCCAATTTTCAATGCCCACAAACCCTTAATTCAATCACCATAGTCAGCAATATCTGTAACACCGTCCCCAAGTATATTTACTTTTATGTAAATAATGTATTGAACCTTATCAAAGGATTAATGAATTTACGAAGTTGTAAATTTTTATTATTTCTTTCGCGTGAATAGTAAATTGCACGTGGGACCCACACCGGGAGCGGGGGCCGCCCGATATTCCCGAGATCACATAAATTATTCTTATGGGTCGAAATAATATTTATATGGTGGTGGACATCTTGTTTGGGCCATGGGAAGGCCTGGGGTTGACCGATCGGTCAAAAGAAGCCCAATTACCGGTACCGACAATTTAACGGATAACAGCCCGAACTGAATTTCGGGGACTTCTAAATTAATGTTTTGGAATATATATTATTTCAAAAGGCCATTACGGTTGGGAACACGTAATATATTTTATTGGACCCGATAAAATAAAATATATTTAAAACAGTCCGAAAAATACAACTTTCGGGACCGATTGTACACATCGGGACACAAAGGGATGACCTCCCACATGAGTGGGGGCCACCCCACGTTTTTTTGTGCTCAATTAGACAAAGGGGAGCTGGATATGACAAAGGAAGGTGTGGAGGAGGAGGCTTTGGCATCAAAGTACAAGGATGACCCCTCACCCATCACACATTTTGTCATTTGAGACAAAATAAACCACTCCCTCTCACCTCAACCATCCAACTCGTCCAGCCCCATCTTTTTGAGAAGAAGAACTCTCAAAATACTCTTCCTCCATAGCTGAACTCGAGCTCAAGGAAGGAGGTCCAAAGAGGAGGGCTTGTAGAAGGAAAAAAGCTAGGAAAAAGTGTGAAAATTGAGGTAATAACCTTATCATAACTCTTCCCTTATTTTTCTTCTATCATATGAGATATATGTCATATGAAGAACCCTTAGGATTGTTCTACATGGTGTGAGTGTGGAATAATGGGTTGGAAAGTGATTCTATGTCCAAGAACGGACTTAGAAGCCAAAACGACCGGTTCACCGGAAAATAACCGTTTTGAGGTTATTTGTATTAATATGGGTTTTATGATTATAAAACCTTGTTAGGAACTTGTGAAAGGTATTTCAAGTGATTTCACAAAGTTGGAAAAGTCGCCGGAGTTGTCGCCGGAGTTGACCAAAAGTCGCCGGAGTTTCACCGGAGTTCAACCAAGAAGGGTAGAACTTCATAACGCTAGTTCAAGGTGAGTGGACGGCTTAATATCTTATAACTTTTGGGTTAATTATAAGATTACCTAAATAAATGTTATATGAATTCATAATGATGTTTAAAAGATATTTAAACATGTGATTAGCCAATAGTGGTTAAGTTTGTATGAAAGAAATAGATTGTTTATGCATAGAATATGATATGGAGAATTATATAAAATGCATATTTGCTTGAAGTGTATTAGAAGCACAAATGAATATTTTAACTTAATTATGTGATGATTAAGTTGATTTGTACAAGGTTTGTAATGGCGGTCAACGACCACGTGACCGGTGGATAAGGGATTAATTAATACCGGTCGATATTAATTAATTGAACATTTACATAATTGCATGGCTTTGCATGGAATGTGATACATAAGTTTTATGTATTGAATTAGTTATGAATGGCTAAATATGATATAGACCCTATCTAGTGTGATATGTGGTAAGTCATAGGTCGGGTGGAGTACCCAAGGATCGGGCGGTTATCCTCAAAACTCGGTTATATAGGGTGGAGTACCCAAGGATCGGGCGGTTATCCTCAAAACTCGGTTATATGGGGTGGAGTACCCAAGGATCGGGCGGTTATCCTCAAAACTCGGTTATATAGGGTGGAGTACCCAAGGATCGGGCGGTTATCCTCAAAACTCAATTATAGGGTGGAGTACCCAAGGATCGGGCGTGTATCCTCAAAACTCATAGATTACATTTAATGATCTAGGACCGGGCGGTGTCCTTATGATGATTTATTTGAACAAGGAGGAGTTCTATACACTCATAGGTATATGGGTGGGTTGGGATTTAAGTCAAGGATATTGGCTACTATTATTTTCCCAAATAAACAATGACCTACGGGTCGGGTATTTCCAAGTGTATGTATACTAATATGTATTTCAAACTTGGGGGAAAGACTATACGTATATGTATCATCCTATGTTTGGGTCTTATACTTGAAACGCTAGTTATTCTATATTTAGCCTGCTACTCGCTCGGTACTTGTACTGACCCCTTCGGGGCCCCCCCACCATTTTCAGGTTGAAGCTAGGGCTTGCTACCTGCACCTTTCTACGGGTGACATCAAGTCAAGGAAGACGTGGTTCGTGCTTCCTCATTTCCTTTCAAATGACTAAACATTGCTCATGGATATTTTTATTTGTTATAAACTACTTTTGGGGCTTGCATGCCCATGTACGTTGTTGGCCGGTTGTGGCTTATGACTTACCGTTGAATATTTCCGCTATTCATTGGTTTAAGTGTGATGTTGTTATGTATGTTTACTACTGAGTATGGATGGTTTATATTCTCGAACGCCTTGTGTAATTAAGTGAGGTTGACTCGCGGGTGACGTCACTTGATTATACGGGGGTTGTACACGCGCTTGGATTGCGGTCTGGGGCGTGACAATTAAGTGGTATCAGAGCCATCTCAGTTCTAAACTATATAATCAACCTCTCACATGAGATTTTACGAAAGAGTTTTTACCGAAAAAACCATGAGCATTGGATTTTGACGTTTATGGGACTATTGGAGCTTAAGTTGCAAGGCCTCTAATTGTTAAGACGGTACCCTTAACAATTGGTATGGTGGTGACTTGGGCCAATACGTGTCTGTAACGTTCTTCCGTCAATTGACATTTATAGGAGTCTAATGACTCATCCATATTTCTTTCAGAAATGGAGGGCAGGCGAATGCGGACCAGGAACAATCCGAGGGGGCAGGCGCCGGTAACATCCCAAAGGGGAAGCCGGGCTGCATCTCGGGGTTCAAGAGGAGGCCGTGGAGGCCGTGGAAGCCGTGGAGGTCATCAAGCTCAAACTGTGAGTGATGGCCATGTAAGCTCGGTGTATGAAACCAACACCGAGGACTATGACTCTACGTATGTTCCTGAGACAGAGCATGAGGAGACCCCATATGATGGAGGTGACACATACACCGATGAGGACAATGATGAAAGTGATGCCCGCTTCGCCCAAATGGGTGAATTACTTGAGTGGTATCAAAAGGAGAAACTGAGGAGAGACCTTAGGCGCCAAGCGAGGCGTGGCTCTCGTGGTGGTTCGGGTCAAGGGAGCCGGGGAGCTTCCGTGGCCACCCCAGCGGCGTCACAAGGTGGGCGTGAAGGAGGTTTTGTTGTGAGAATCTCCAAGTACCTCAAGGAGGCTAGGGCCTTGGGGTGTAGGTCCTTTGACGGCACCGGTGACATTACCGTTGCCGCCGATTGGATTAAGAAGGTGAAGGATGCATCAAGAGACATGCAAATCACACCGGACGTGAAGTTGACTGTCGCTTCACGGCTACTTGAAGGGATAGCTTCTACGTGGTGGGAGAGCGTGGAAGGGAAGTACCATGGGGAAATAACATGGGCGGATTTTGAGCTAGAATTCTATGCTCAATACTACTCCGAGTACGAGGTGAATGTGAAACGGAGAGAGTACACTAACCTCAAACAAAAAGATGGCGGCACAGTTAAGCAGCTGGAACAAGAGTTTAGAACCTTGGCTAGGTTCTTGCCAGAGTACGCGGTTGATGAGAACCGTATGACGGAGCACTTTTGGGACGCCCTACTCTTGGACATCCGTGATCGGGCTACGTACTCGCGCCACATGACCTTTAGCGAGGTGGTGGAGCAGGGCCTTCTTGGGGAGGCCCAATGGAACGAGAGGAAAGCAAGGGACGCCGAAGAGGCGAAGAAGAGGAAGTGGAATAATTCGGGGCCACCCGATCATTCTCGAAGGAACAACCACGGGGGTGGTGGTGGTGGTGGCGGTGGTTCATTCAAGGCGCCGGCTCCACTGGCAAAGAAGAATAGGGATGCGAGGTGGCACGGACCTAGGCCACAGAACTCGGGGCCACCTAGATGTCCCAATTGCTCAAAACAACACTTTGGAAAGTGCAATGAACCACCGAGGTGTTTTAAGTGCGGGAATGCGGGCCATATGAAGGCCAATTGCCCTCAATTGATACAAGAGAGTGCCTCAGGAGCCGGGGGAGGGACCATGACGGGAAGGAACCGTGCGGGACCGTCAAACGGCGGCACGGGAAGAGGCGGTGCATCCACAAGCCATGCCGCATCCGTCAACCAAGGTGGGACCCAAGCACGAGTCTACGCGATGACCGAGGCGGATGCGCGAGCAAACCCGGACTCCGTTGCAGGTAATACACGTATTCCCATGTATTTCTAGGCTTAGTTTGATCATATACACCGTTGGGGGTTGAGTTCGGGCCACCCCGGGACCAAACGGAGCGAAATTGGGCGAAATTGGGCGAATTCGGGCTGATTTCTGCCAACGCACTACAGGCTGGGCTGCACGCACGGCCGTGCGTTGCCCGTGCGTACCTCCGTGCGTTGGTGGCAGTAGCACCCCGGAGGAAAATCGCTGCACGCCCGGCCGTGCGTTGCCCGTGCGTACCTCCGTGCGTTGGTGGCAATAGCACCCCGGAGAAAATCGCTGCACGCCCGGCCGTGCGTTGCCCGTGCGTCCCTTCGTGCGTTGGGGGCAGTAGCCTCCATTGGTAAGGCAAGGTACGCACGACCGTGCGTACCCCCTACGCACGCCGTGCGTGGACCCCTGGCACCCGAAACTTGATTTTTTCGCCCCGTTCTTCTACGTTTGGACGCCCGTTTGATTCCAAAAATTAGTATGAACCTAATAACCTCCTAAAGGAGTGTAAAAACATTAGAAATGGTATCTTACATGGTGTATAAATGTAGGAACACTAAAGATCAATGGTAGGTGTGCGAGGATCCTCATCGATACCGGGGCACAACGCTCATTTGTGAGTGAGGCGTTCGCCGAGGGCCTTGACGTGCCATTGACACCTATGATGCAAACGTTGCTAGTCTCCACACCATTAGGAGACGATGTGGAGAGAAATCATTACTATCCATCGTGTGAGGTGGAAGTGACGGGTCAACCCTTGACTTGTGATTTCGTACCTCTAAGCATGTTGGAGTTCGATGCAATCCTAGGAATGGATTGGCTTGAGAAGCACCATGCTCGAGTAGATTGCTACACCAAGGTGTTGGAGCTCGAGGATGATCAAGGAAACACGCTATGTTTCGAAGGAGATCGGGGGAAATCTAATGCTTGTATCATATCCGTGATGAGAGCACGAAAGATGATGAGGAAGGGATGCCACGCATACCTTGCTTATGTGGTAGATGATACGAAGAAAGAAGTCGACATCAAGGATGTTCGAGTCGTGTGCAAGTACCCGGACGTCTTTCCCAAGGACCTACCGGGGCTTCCACCCGATAGAGAGATTGAATTTGTAATCGAAGTGGAGCCGGGAACCAAACCCATTTCGATTCCTCCTTATCGAATGGCGCCGGCCGAACTCCAAGAGTTGAAGGTCCAACTACAAGAATTACTGGACAACGGGTTCATCAGACCCAGTCATTCACCGTGGGGAGCACCCGTACTCTTCGTAAAGAAGAAAGATGGTACACTAAGAATGTGTATCGACTACCGACAGTTGAACAAGGTCACCATCAAGAACAGGTATCCTTTACCTAGGATTGATGACTTGTTTGATCAACTTCGAGGGGCCATAGTATTCTCAAAGATTGACTTGAGATCGGGGTATCATCAGTTGAAGATCAAGGAGAGTGACATACCTAAGAGTGCATTTCGCACTAGATATGGTCACTACGAGTTTCTTGTGATGTCATTTGGGTTAACCAATGCACCGGCAACATTCATGGACTTGATGAACCGTGTGTTTAGTGAATACTTAGATCAATTTGTGATAGTATTCATTGATGACATCTTGATATACTCCAAGAGCGAGGAAGAGCACGAACACCATTTGAGGCTTGTACTTGATCGGCTAAGGGAAAAGCAACTCTTCGCCAAGTTCTCCAAATGCGAATTTTGGCTCAAAGAGATTGGTTTCCTCGGTCATGTCATATCCGGTTCGGGTGTTGCTGTGGATAACGCCAAGATAAAAGCGATCATGGATTGGGAGAGACCCAGGAATGCGAAGGAGATACGTAGTTTCCTTGGCCTAGCGGGATACTATCGTAAATTTGTTGAGAAATTCTCCGTATTGGCGTCTCCATTAACGAAGCTCACAAAGAAAGGGGCCAAGTTCATATGGGACGATAAGTGCGAGAAGGGGTTCCTTGAATTGAAGAAACGACTTACCGAAGCACCAGTCCTGGCCCTACCCATACAGGGTATAGGGTACGACATTTACAGCGATGCTAGCATCCAAGGGCTTGGATGTGTACTAATGCAAAACGGTAAGGTGATTGCCTATGCTTCTAGGCAATTGAGGAAACACGAGGTGAACTACCCTACTCACGATCTAGAGTTGGGGGCGGTGGTGTTTGCATTGAAGATTTGGAGACATTATCTCTACGGGGAGACGTGTCACATTTATACTGATCATAAGAGCTTGAAGTATGTATTCACTCAGAAAGAGTTGAATATGAGGCAGAGGAGATGGATGGAGTTGATCAAGGACTATGACTTGATCATCGACTATCATCCCGGAAAGGCCAATGTAGTGGCCGACGCACTGAGCAGAAAGAGTACGTCAGGGACGCTACTCACATGTCTACAAGCATTGAGGGCACACGTGGAGGTATCCACGAGCGGGGCGCTCATTGCTAGATTCGAGGTGAGGCCTACATTGCTGAGTGAGATCAGTAGATGTCAGGCCATTGATGAGGAATGTCAGAAGATCCGCGAACGGATCCTTGAGGGGCCCGTCGAGAATTTTCGGGTACGTGATGACGGTCTTTTATTATTTAAGGATCGTGTGTGCATACCAAAGAATGAGGAGCTCCAGAGGGCTATACTTGAGGAGGCTCATTCTTCAGCATATGCCATGCATCCAGGGGGTACTAAGATGTACCGAGATCTGAAGGAAAGTTACTGGTGGTCAGGCATGAAGAAGGATATCGCAGAGTTTGTGAGTCGATGCCTTACTTGCCAGCAAATTAAGGCAGAGCATCAGCACCCAGCAGGGCTCTTACAACCACTCACCATCCCAGAGTGGAAGTGGGAACATGTGACCATGGACTTCGTGGTGGGGCTGCCACGAACAGTGAACAACTACGATGCAGTATGGGTAGTGGTTGATAGGCTCACCAAGAGTGCACACTTTCTGCCTATCAACATTACTTATCCTCTTGAAAGATTGGCCAAGCTATACACGGAGGAGATTGTGAGATTACATGGAGTCCCAATATCCATTGTCTCGGATAGGGATCCACGATTCACATCCCGATTTTGGCCAAAGTTTCAAGCATCTTTGGGGACTAAACTGAAGTTTAGCACAGCTTTTCACCCACAGACGGATGGACAGTCCGAGCGGGTGATACAGATTTTGGAAGACATGCTTAGGGCATGTGCTTTGGAGTTCCAAGGAAGTTGGGACAAGCATTTGGCCCTAGTGGAGTTTGCTTATAACAACAGTTATCAAGCAAGTATCGGCATGCCTCCATATGAGGCATTGTATGGGAGGAAATGCAGAACACCATTGTGTTGGGACGAGGTTGGCAAGGCCAAACTCGAAGGGATAGAGCTAGTTGAGATCACCAAGGCCAAGGTGAGGATCATTCGGGATAGATTGAAGGCCGCTCAGGACCGACAGAAGAGTTATGCTGATAAACGGCGGAGACCGTTGGAGTTCAAAGTCGGTGATGAGGTCTTCCTAAGGATTTCTCCTTGGAAGGGCATCATCCGATTCGTATCGAGGGGGAAGCTTAACCACCGATACATAGGTCCGTTTGAGATCCTTGAAAGGATCAGGGCCGTGGCTTACCGACTCAAGTTGACGCCTGAACTTGAGAAGATACATGACGTGTTTCATGTATCAATGCTCAAGAAGTACATACGAGACCCATCTCATATTCTTGAGAAACCACCGGTAGAGATCCGTGAGGACTTGCAATATGCGGTGGAACCAGTGAAGATTGTTGGTCAACAAGTGAAGAAGCTTAGGAATAAGGAGATTCCTATGGTAAAGGTTCTTTGGAGGAGTGATCGAGTTGAAGAAGAAACTTGGGAGACCGAGGTCTCAATGAAGGAGCAATACCCATTTCTTTTCGATTAGATACTTGGATTTCGGGGACGAAATCCCAAATAAGGGGGGGTGAACTTGTAACACCGTCCCCAAGTATATTTACTTTTATGTAAATAATGTATTGAACCTTATCAAAGGATTAATGAATTTACGAAGTTGTAAATTTTTATTATTTCTTTCGCGTGAATAGTAAATTGCACGTGGGACCCACACCGGGAGCGGGGGCCGCCCGATATTCCCGAGATCACATAAATTATTCTTATGGGTCGAAATAATATTTATATGGTGGTGGACATCTTGTTTGGGCCATGGGAAGGCCTGGGGTTGACCGATCGGTCAAAAGAAGCCCAATTACCTGTACCGACAATTTAACGGATAACAGCCCGAACTGAATTTCGGGGACTTCTAAATTAATGTTTTGGAATATATATTATTTCAAAAGGCCATTACGGTTGGGAACACGTAATATATTTTATTGGACCCGATAAAATAAAATATATTTAAAACAGTCCGAAAAATACAACTTTCGGGACCGATTGTACACATCGGGACACAAAGGGATGACCTCCCACATGAGTGGGGGCCACCCCACGTTTTTTTGTGCTCAATTAGACAAAGGGGAGCTGGATATGACAAAGGAAGGTGTGGAGGAGGAGGCTTTGGCATCAAAGTACAAGGATGACCCCTCACCCATCACACATTTTGTCATTTGAGACAAAATAAACCACTCCCTCTCACCTCAACCATCCAACTCGTCCAGCCCCATCTTTTTGAGAAGAAGAACTCTCAAAATACTCTTCCTCCATAGCTGAACTCGAGCTCAAGGAAGGAGGTCCAAAGAGGAGGGCTTGTAGAAGGAAAAAAGCTAGGAAAAAGTGTGAAAATTGAGGTAATAATCTTATCATAACTCTTCCCTTATTTTTCTTCTATCATATGAGATATATGTCATATGAAGAACCCTTAGGATTGTTCTACATGGTGTGAGTGTGGAATAATGGGTTGGAAAGTGATTCTATGTCCAAGAACGGACTTAGAAGCCAAAACGACCGGTTCACCGGAAAATAACCGTTTTGAGGTTATTTGTATTAATATGGGTTTTATGATTATAAAACCTTGTTAGGAACTTGTGAAAGGTATTTCAAGTGATTTCACAAAGTTGGAAAAGTCGCCGGAGTTGTCGCCGGAGTTGACCAAAAGTCGCCGGAGTTTCACCGGAGTTCAACCAAGAAGGGTAGAACTTCATAACGCTAGTTCAAGGTGAGTGGACGGCTTAATATCTTATAACTTTTGGGTTAATTATAAGATTACCTAAATAAATGTTATATGAATTCATAATGATGTTTAAAAGATATTTAAACATGTGATTAGCCAATAGGGTTAAGTTTGTATGAAAGAAATAGATTGTTTATGCATAGAATATGATATGGAGAATTATATAAAATGCATATTTGCTTGAAGTGTATTAGAAGCACAAATGAATATTTTAACTTAATTATGTGATGATTAAGTTGATTTGTACAAGGTTTGTAATGGCGGTCAACGACCACGTGACCGGTGGATAAGGGATTAATTAATACCGGTCGATATTAATTAATTGAACATTTACATAATTGCATGGCTTTGCATGGAATGTGATACATAAGTTTTATGTATTGAATTAGTTATGAATGGCTAAATATGATATAGACCCTATCTAGTGTGATATGTGGTAAGTCATAGGTCGGGTGGAGTACCCAAGGATCGGGCGGTTATCCTCAAAACTCGGTTATATAGGGTGGAGTACCCAAGGATCGGGCGGTTATCCTCAAAACTCGGTTATATGGGGTGGAGTACCCAAGGATCGGGCGGTTATCCTCAAAACTCGGTTATATAGGGTGGAGTACCCAAGGATCGGGCGGTTATCCTCAAAACTCAATTATAGGGTGGAGTACCCAAGGATCGGGCGTGTATCCTCAAAACTCATAGATTACATTTAATGATCTAGGACCGGGCGGTGTCCTTATGATGATTTATTTGAACAAGGAGGAGTTCTATACACTCATAGGTATATGGGTGGGTTGGGATTTAAGTCAAGGATATTGGCTACTATTATTTTCCCAAATAAACAATGACCTACGGGTCGGGTATTTCCAAGTGTATGTATACTAATATGTATTTCAAACTTGGGGGAAAGACTATACGTATATGTATCATCCTATGTTTGGGTCTTATACTTGAAACGCTAGTTATTCTATATTTAGCCTGCTACTCGCTCGGTACTTGTACTGACCCCTTCGGGGGCCCCCCACCATTTTCAGGTTGAAGCTAGGGCTTGCTACCTGCACCTTTCTACGGGTGACATCAAGTCAAGGAAGGCGTGGTTCGTGCTTCCTCATTTCCTTTCAAATGACTAAACATTGCTCATGGATATTTTTATTTGTTATAAACTACTTTTGGGGCTTGCATGCCCATGTACGTTGTTGGCCGGTTGTGGCTTATGACTTACCGTTGAATATTTCCGCTATTCATTGGTTTAAGTGTGATGTTGTTATGTATGTTTACTACTGAGTATGGATGGTTTATATTCTCGAACGCCTTGTGTAATTAAGTGAGGTTGACTCGCGGGTGACGTCACTTGATTATACGGCGGTTGTACACGCGCTTGGATTGCGGTCTGGGGCGTGACAATATCTATTATTATACTCACTGCCCATATTCATTGCTCATATTAAATGACCACAAATTCTATTTTTTAACCCTAATTTCAAAATTAGAAAAAAAAAGAATATGAATGGAGGAGGACGGCCGGTCAACGATCCATTTCCTATCAACCACCTTTTCACCCACCAAAGCAACATTATCTTTATAAAAGATTCTTTTTCACTTTTTCAAGATGAAGACGTACACAACCTCTCTTCTTCGGTCAACCACGTAGATGACTCTCGCAGGACTTGTTGAACCAAGTACCTATGTGACTGCTTCGCGGATCAAATCATTTCAGTAGAGGAAGACAGCCATGGTCTGGACGACGATCATTGCAAGCAGAAGCGGCTGGATGCATTTGGTTGACGATCTTGCTCTTGGACGGCGGCTGACGGCGGGCCATGGGGGCGGCGGCAGGTGGCGTGGGTTGGCTATGGAGAATGGCGGATGGAGGCAAACGGATGGATCTATGGAGGTGGGAGAGTGGAGGCTAGGATTGGAGAAAAGAGTAGGAGGTTAGAGTTTTATAGATATAACCTAAAGGGTATATTTGTCCACCTATATTTTTCAATTAATTAATTAATACGAATTTAATTCAATATTAATAATATTTTGGTAAAAAAACAAGTTAAGTCATAGATTGAGAAAGTGAAGAAGTTTTAGTCATACCTAGTATAATTATCTCTATCAGAAATTATACATGTTTAATTATACTAGTGCAGTTTGGTTATATTTTAGACATATTTAGAAATTAGAATAATTGTTAGACATACTCCGTATTTATCCAAGAAACAACACAGTTAGTACATATGATGTTTTTATTTGGGCTTTTTTGAGTCCCAGACTAGACCAGACTGGACTTAAACAGACTAGACCAGATCAGATTTAAACAGACCTGACCAGACCAGACTTAAACAGACCCGACCAGACTTGACTTCCGTAATTATAAAATCAACAAAGACCAGATGTTTACCAGACCAGACCTGACCTAATCAGACTTCAACAGACTAGACCTGATCAGACCAGTGTTAAACAGACCAGACCAGACCAGACCAACAAATTATAGTCTAAGTAAAAACATCCTTAGACGCAAGTATATCCGTTTGAGTAGTCGAGTAGATCAAAGCCTAGCGGGTAGCTCACAGATACTTAAAAAGGAAGACACTCCATCTCTGAAGGCCCGCCGGAAATGACCGAACAGTTATTTGGGATGAGGTTTAAGACTCACACGAGGTCACACTAGATGAGATCAAAGTTAAATAAACCAGATCAAATGTAATCAAGATCAAGAAAAATTCACATAAATAGACCGTTACCAGATTTGACTAGACCAGAAAATTTAAGTCCAATTTACAAAGAGTTTAAACATTACATTTCATTAGTAAAGAAGTCAAAAACTTTCTACATTTTTTTGCATAAAACCATACCAGCAAAGCAGTAGCTAGTCTATCAAGGTTTTTCATTCTTCCCCTAGAAAAGCAGTTCTTTATCCTTTCCATTAGCTTTCCAATAGCAAGGAACCCCAGAAAACTTTGGCAAAAGACCACCAGAGAACTTTTGCTTAGGAAATCCCATCCCTTTGCTAACCCTCTTGCACATCTTCACAACACTTAGAAGTGTAGTGGTCTTTCTCTTTAGATTTAGGATCATTTAGCCAATCACCTACTTTTTCCCACACCAAGCTAGAAAAGTGGCATTGGAAAAATAGATGGGAGATTGAATCCAAATGGGCTTTGGATAAACAACAAGCTCAATCCATATCCATGAACAATAGATTTTCACAAGTAGAGAGTCTATTTCTCATACCCAGCCACATAAAGAAATAATATTTAGGTGGGATATACCTTTTCCAAATGAGGTGCATCCAAGGCTTACTTAGACCTTTAATCCCGAGTGCATCATAAACCTTTACTGCAACAAGTTTTCCTTGAAAGCAGATTGATTCCATTTGGTGAATAGCAGCATCAGTACCTCCCATGCTTTCTACAAGTTGCTCTCTAACCTTTAAAAGCTTAGTAACCAAATTGGACACCCCAGAAGTTGGTGTCCATTCCCATATTTACTCCCATGATTACTTTTACTCTCGGAAGGACCAAGTTTAGAAACTAGATCCAAACACCCTAATTTCGGTTGTCAAATTAAAGTTTTTTGTTTTATTTTGATTTGAGTCTTTCTTCCTAAAAGACAACATCATCTATCACATAATTGATCAAATTAACTAAAGGTAGCTTATCCAACATGTTGTGGATCCGTTTCTGTCTTGCCGGATTCGGCTCAGGTATGCCGTAGGTCGGTTTCCGGCGGTCTCCTTGTGCACACCAAGGCTAAGGGAGCAATAACCTATTCTACCTTCCAACACTACTCTTACTCAGCTTCACAGAGAGCTGGTTTCTCTTCTTCTCACCCCACACTAAAAAGGTCTATGGAGTGATAGATATATAGCACACGGAAGGAAGGAAGAAGGTGTTGCCTCTCAATAAACAATTGCACATGCTAGGAAGTCAACATCTAACAGATGAGTTTGGCTTATTAGCTAGGAGTATGGGTTGACATGGGTTGACAGATATGCAGGGACACTCAATCCCACACATCACATTATTTGCTCAAATAATTTAATGAATCTGGACAGATTCAAATCGGGAGAAATAACCCAAGCCTGGTAACTGGAGTAAGAGTAGTGGGCTACTGAATAGGTTGTCAACTATTATTAATATACAAGACGATTTGGGCCAATAATATATTAACACAACATCCTGCCAGCTAGTAGCTGCTAGTTTAGTATCAGATTAGTCTTTGTGCTGGCTAGCTAGTGGCTGCTAGTTTAGTGGCAGATTAGTATTAGGATTTGGCTTTGCCGGTTGTTTGCCATCGTGTGTTCCTAACCGAAGGACAATGTGGGGTTCATTCATAATTATGCCTACTTGGCACTGACAAGAAAGAAAAAAGACGAGGAAGAATGTTCGATATATATACTAAATTATAAAAATCTAACTAATAAACTAGTTAAATCAATTGTTAGTTGAATTGCTTTCATATTAGACAAAAATGTCTAATTAATTAGGAGTAAAGTGTAACACATTTTCTCAAATTAGAGTGTCAGGTTTTTTCTCAAAATAAGACCGAACATTTATTCCCAATTAGAAAAGTTTTAATGTTTTATTTTTAACAAGATTAAAAAGAATCTGGTAAAAAAAAACAAGATTAAAAAGAAAAGCAGACGCCCCTCTAGGATTTTTCTGGGGTTAGATTTTCGGGCGAAAGTGCTATTACGTCCGATGTTTTGTTTCAGACGAGTCATAAAGTTTTTGAGGCGGTTATTTTGTGTGTGACATAGAGAAGGAAGACCCAAATTTTCAAATACTACTTCCGTTCTTAAATAAGTGCAACATACAAAATTTTATACTATTCACATGTTCTACTTTGACTACATTTTATTCATTGATGTATTAAACATATTTTTTTGAAAAAAATATTACTAAATTTGTCTCAATGTATATTTTCAAAATCGGATTTTTTTACATTTTTTACTAATAGAGAGTCATATATATCAATGGTCAAAGTTGTGCCTCGAAAAATGTGAAATGTTAACCGTTGCACTTATTTAAGAACGGAGGAAGTATGATATTATTACGTTCTATTTGATTTGACATCTCTTATTATAGTCTATTTGATCTATTCGAAAATGATCGAGTTAAATTTAAATAAAATGCCTTTTGTAAATGCTACTTTAGGTTTAGTTGGTACTTTATTATTGTTTAGTTTGAGGGCGTGTGGTAGTGTCTTTTAGTGTGGTTCAGTGGTTGAAGTTTTATCTAGTCAGAAACATTAAGCTTTTGTGGTCGAAATTATCTTCAAGGCTCTCACAGGTTAGCAAAATGATCAGCTCAACATGAAATTTCTTTCTTTATCTGATCAAGGATTGGATCAAGAGGACTTTCGGGTATGGACTCAAGTGAGGAAAATGATAGTCATTAAAATTCGGTTTATGGTTCGGTTTTCTTCGGTTTCGGTTCGGTTTCGGTGTATTCGGGTTGGGAGAATTTGTACCAAACTAAAACCATTCGTGTTTCGGTTTGGTTTCGGCTCGGTTTCGGATCGGTTCGGTTTGAAGTTCGATTTACCAAAGTAAAAAATATTATGTTTAATTTAGTTTGATTTGATTCGTTTGCTTATGTTTATTATTTTATTTGATCAAGTTCTATATTTTAGAATTAGAAAATGAAAGTAGTAGTCCATCTCATATTTTTTTTAATTTATTGATTATTTAAATAAAATGTAAAAGGAAATAAAAGATAGAAAAATAAATAATAAAATATATTAAATTAAAAATTTTAACATCTTTTTATCAGTACAAAAAATTCATTTCTTACAAAAAGTAAGATAGTTGATTAGCATTTATAATATCACATAAAACATTCAAAAAAACCTAAAAGAGTCGGTGGTACAAATGTTGTAATATTCACAATTTTATTCAAATGAATCATGTAAAAATATAAATGCAATTTGCTATTGTTATCGGCAAACATAATAAATACAAATATGTCGTATTGGCTAACGTTGTCATAATGAATGTATGAAATGTGTAAAAGTTAAAATGATACGAGTATATGCTTAGATATGTATTTTCATGTCTAAATTATTTATTGATATCTTAAAAATGAAGAGTGAAGATAAATACAAAGTGTGTGTGTGTGTGTATTGTTCGGTGTTCGGTTCGGTTTACGGGTTTTCCGTTTTAAACCAAACCAAACCAAAGTACCAAACCATTCGGTTTGAGCAAATGTTTACCAAACGGTTTACTTAAGTAAACCCAACCCAAACCAAATCAAACCACCAATTTTAATAATATATGAAAGTTTTTTTGAGTTTCTTTAGTTTGGTTCGGTTTTATTCAGGTTTTATCGGTTTCGGTTCGGTTCGGTTTAATACGGTTTGGAAGAAATAGTACCAAACTCAAATCAAATTTCATACGGTCTGGTTTCGGTTCGGTTTAGTTCGGTTTGGTACGGTTCGGTTCAGTTAAAGCAAACCGTTATGCCCACCCCTAATTTAATATCCAAGTACCTTATATTCATTCAAAATTGGCCGGGTCTACCATGTGAAAAGGTACCATTCCAAAAAGCAGAATATATCATGTGAAATATTGCAATGATGATTGAATTGAACCTATTATTGGGTCCTTTCAAAAAAAAAAACCTATTATTGGGTATGACTTAAACCTCTATGAATCCGTATCTAATAACGGATCTAATATGTATTATGCTAATGACAATAGATAACTTTCATCGCCTCAAATTAGGAGAGCAATTTTGTTTAGCCTCTTAAAAGTGGGTGTTGCTTAAAACATGGTACTGTCTTGGAGTTTTTTTCCAAATTAATGTTAAATTAAAAAGTATTTACGAAATTGGGGTTGAGTTAAAACTATTTACTTATATACTGTTGGACCAAACTAGGGTTAGACAGAACCGCCAAACCATTTGGCGACTTTGTCAAAAAATACGAGAGTCCCACAACCTAGCTAGTAGAAATGTATAGGAAGAGATGGGTGGGGCCTATATGTAAATAAAATCTCTCTCTTTAAAAAATTATTATAACTTTCATAATCTTGCATCAAGTTATGTAAAAATTATATCAAAAGTTTTAATTTTTTATTATCTTTCATATGACACCAATATCGAATATATAAAATTTAAAAAAATTTAAAGACCATATGGAGTGAAAAAGCTAATTGCAACTATGGAGTATGCATTGTCCATAAACCTAGAGCCTGTTTGGTAGCACAAAAATCGGCTGATTTGGCTGATTTTACTGAAATTTATGTAATTCTGACCGAAGTGACTGCATTGGGTGATTGTGTTGATTTAAGAGAAAATTATTTTTAAAATATATTTTATTAATAAAATAAAGAACAAATTATATGTAAAAATAGCTAAAATGATCGTCCACAATAACTTCAGCCAATACAATCAAAAACTAACTTCAACCTTACTTTTCCTGCTTATTACACAATTCAATGCGTGAAAGCAAAAATTACGTGTTTGGTGAAAAAGTTGGCTGATAAGCCGAAAAAAGTGATTTCAAACGGCCTACTTATTTGCTATTTTAAATTATGCAATTAACACCATAAATTTACATTTTGAAAGAAATAATACATGATCATGGTACTTAACGAACTTTTTACATAAAATTTGGGGTATTTGAATTACATATGAAAGTTTTGGGTGTTTACCACCCCTTCAAAGTTCGAGATATTGTAATTATTTTTCTCTTTATTTTTTCATTTGAAATGTTTCATTTTGACCTAAAATGTTAAACATTTAAATGCAATAAAAACTTGGAGTTTAACTCTTTATTGTTTGAAATCTTTTCTTGAAAAATAACTGAAAGATAAACTACGTATAAAATAATGACGAAATCTGAATTTTAACACTATGATTTGCTTATGAAAAAAAGTTGAGATTAAAGAACTCTAGAAAGAATTTAGCTAAAAACTATGTCCCGTGAATATATTGACAGTGTCAGTCAGAAAAACAATTAAGAGGACGTTTGACCACAATATTTTTCGACTTATCAGCCAACTTTTCCACCTAACACGTAACTTTTGATCACAAATGTAATAAGAATAAAAAGTAAGGTTAGAGTTACTTTTCTGGTTGTATTGGATGAAATTACTGCAGATGACCACTTTAGTTATTTTCAAATATAATTTTTTCTTCATTTTAGTAATAAAATATATTTAATAAATAATTTTTTCTTAAATCAGCCAATGCAGTAACTTCAGCCAGAACTTCATCAATTTCAGCAGAATCAGCCAAATCAGCCGATTTTGTGCTACCAAACAAGCTCTAAGTTTATTGACAATGCATAGTTGCAATTATTAGCTTTTTGACCTGATCTGGTCTTTGGATTTTTTTTTAACTTCATATATTGAATATTGATGTCATTTGAAAGATAATAAAAAGTTATACAATTTGATATTTTTTTTGTGAAAATTGGAGCAAGTATATAAAAGTTATTGCAATTTAAAGATAAAAGAGTTTTTTTAACATAGGGCCCACCACCCCTTGTCTTGCCCATTCATTTGTCCTTCTACAGTTGGACGTAGTACCTCTTAGCAGTTAGGAGTACTCCGTATTTTTTTACAAAGTCGCCAACTCGTTTGGCGGCTCTCACTAACCCTAGTTTGATCCAGCATTATTTTGGTAGAGGGTGGCTTATATTAATAAGAAAGACATAAACCAGATACAATCAGACAAAGAGCCCAATGTCTATCGTCCGCCCTTGAACCAGACTTAGAAACTGCCACCTCAAATGAAGCAACTAGATTCGCTCATCTTGAATTGGGCTTACATGAGCCAATGACTGGCAAACTAGACTCATCATCACTTGACTTATGTTCTAGAGTCTTAACATGAATAATAGCAGAAGTAAACAACAAGCCATGATGTCCGAAACGAAAAATGAAAAAAACAAAGCAAGCAAAATAAATTTCTTGAACCCTAGCACCTCGTTCAACCCTTGGTGGTGGTTCTGGAGGAGGCCGGACCATTGCCACAATTGTTGATGCCCCAAAGCGGTAATCCTCCGACTCGGCCGCTTCTTCTTCCTCATCATCCATCACCCATTCGTCCTTGTCCTTTTGTTCACCGTTGATCTGCTTTTGGAATTCGCTCGTCGCCATCGCCTCACACCGTCTTCCGATTGTCAAGCCTAACCGCACAAACTCGACGAAGATCTAACACCCTTTATTCTCGTCCTGAAGCCCGTTGCCCTGCTCGACCGTACTAGCCACCTAGACAGTCGCACTTCGCCAAAGGAGGAGATGAAAAAAAAACCCCACTTTGCAATTAACCCACAATGGAGTAAACAAATAAGCACCGACGCCGGACACTAAACAGCCAGATGACTGTGGCCGGAAAATCAAAACCCTAGAAACGGCAAAGCCGCCGGGGAGAGTCGCCTCGCAGAGCAAAGGCTTTACAATTCCGTATTCTTTTTTCGCCAATTATAACCTGGTTGCATTATTTTGGTAAATAGTTTTAACTCAACATCAATTTTGTAAATATTTTTTTTGTTTTGCATTATTTCATAAAAAAAGTCACTGTCTTGTGGTATCAGTTATGACAAAACATTTTATTTTACGATTATTATACCTTTTTATTTATTTTCCCATTTTCGAAAAAACTATATCAAATTTTTTAATGCAACATAACCTTGACTTTTCTCCAAAACAACACAATTCAATGCGATTTATACAGAAACCAATGTTCTTTATACAGACACTAGACATCTCTACGGAGACAAAAAATGTCTGCACATATTTTTTGTTTTTGCGCATGCATGTTTTCAAATACTTACAATTTTTTTCATATTAATTTGTTCACACATACAAATTTCATCAAAATGTGATTGTACTTTACATTTTTTGTTTGTGTACACATACATTAATTTCTATGCAACTTAACAAGGACTTTTATGAAACATTTTTTCTATGTACACAGACACTGAAAGCAATTCGATCAATGTCTCTGTGAAAGCAATTCAGTGTATGTATACACAAAATTTTGGTTTGTGGCGAATTTTTACACTGTTACTTATTTTTTTCAATTCTGTTTTTTTTTTTGTATAGAGAAATTAAATCATTATTAAATATTACACAGACAATATTTTATATATCACACAAAAAAAATTCCAGCGGCCATTAATTTTGATTTTCCCATGACTTTCCAAATAACTTTTTAGCACCATTTTATTCGATGTGCAGACAAACATAAAACTGAAGATGATGATGATGGAAGATGATGGTGACGATGGAGGATGAATAGAAAGTAAAAAGAAAAAAAGAAGGAAATAAAAAGCGGTCCAACCCAGTTGGTCGCCGACTCACTCTCCCTTATGAGAGGTTTCGGGTTCGAAACTCAATGGAGTGAGTTTTCAGCCCTGATTAGTCCAGGTCTCCAGCCCCCTACCCCTAGACGCCCTTGGAGTAAAAAAACAAGAAAAAGAAAAAAAGAAGGAAAGATGAAAGAAGAAAGAAATATGAGGCATGTGATTCTTATGATAGAGAGAAGGAGAAGGGAGGGATGAAATGTAAAAAAAATATGGAATGATTTATATAGGGTGTACATAAGGTGTAACTCAAATCATATAGTAAGAGCCCGTTTGATAATATGAAAATCGGCTAAATCGACTGATTCTGCTAAAATTTATGAAAATTTCTCTGAAATGACTGCTTTGGCTGATTCTGCTTATTTATGAAAAATTATATTTAAAATATATTCTATTAGTAAAATAAAAAAAAATATGTAGAAATAGCTAAAATTGTCGTCAGTAACTTAGCTAATACAGTCAGAAAAGTAACTTCAACTTTACTTTTTCTTATCATCACACTATTCAACGTGCGGAATGAAATGTTATAAGCATTTTTGGATGGGGCATTACTGGTCAATAACAATCATATCCACTCATCCCTGCATTCAATTATTGGTCAATAATAGCAGCTCTCTTACGGACCAGTGTGTTTTATTCATGCGTATTTGATCCCACTTCCAATTCAAGGCATTTTCACCGACTCTTTCATAAGATTCTTCCTCTTTTGTTTATTGGTTCTTTAAATTGAGAAAATGACAATAGAGGTTTATCCAAAACACACAATTTACTTAAAAGTAACAACAGCTTTTCAAGAGGCCAGATTAAAAGGGAATGCCAAGTATGTTTTAGGGTATGTTTGGTTCACGGAATGTCAGATTACCATGAGTATTATGCTTTCAAAAATAAGATTATTTTTTAGTAAATATAATTTACATATTTAGAAACTACATTAAAAGTTTTATAAAATCGTACTATACAAAGAAATTAAATGAAAAGAGATAATTAATTGAGGGTATTTTCGGAAGAAAATTAGACCATCATCGGGAATGTAAGATAACCTAAGGCATGAATGGTTATAAGATTCCCCTCCATATTACATTTTCGGGAATGTAACTTTTCCGATTTTTTCTCAAACTCGTGAACCAAACATGAGTATCTGACATTCCGTGCATCACATTCATGCCTTCACGTGAGATTACCCCAAACCAAACATAGCCCAAAACTCCTTTCTTACTTATTTAACCACACTACAAACATTTCATTAAAATAAAAAGAAAATTTTGGCAAATCTAAAAATGAAAAAGTGAGAAAGAAAATTGTGAGGGAAGGAGTATTAATGCCTAATACTTACTTCATATTCTTTTAAAAAAAAAAGATTATATTGAAGCAAAAAAAAGAAAATACATCCTTTCCTAACTAAATGCATTAGTAGATGAGTTAAATAATAGCTAGGGTGTGTCATGAAAGGATCGCATCGTCTACTAAAAGGCTAAAACTAGTACTTGTACATGGGTGGCCATCTCGGTCAAACCTTACACCGTGGGATCGGATTTGTTAATGAAGCAAATAGACCTTTAATACTCCGTATTTTACTAGTATGAGATATCCCTTGTTCCTACGGAGTATTATTTTTCGTCTTTTGACTATATTAAGAAAATGAAAAATTATACGGAGTGTGATTTAAAGATTCACAGTTCACTGTTTTAGCATTTTTTTGTAAATTAAAACAATCAAATATATAAAGGAATTTAATTGGGCTCCGTACAAGAAATATAATTTTAATATGTGAAAGGAATAAAATGGAAGAAATAAAAATAGAGTTGAAAGCTTTGTTCTTGCTTTGCTAGAGTACAAGACGTCGTGGTTACAATGTGTGTTTTACAATCTGAGGGCTATGCTATTTATTAAGAATGGGTAGATTAAGAATAGGGGTGGACCCGAGCCGGTTCGGGCCTGGGCCCGGCCGGGCCTCGGGCCAGAAAACTGGGGCCCGAGCCCGAACCGGCGGTTCCGGTTCCGGGCCAAACCGGACCGGGCCAAACCGGTCCATTTTTTTTTTGTTCTCCTATTTAACCCCCTACCCCTCCCACTCAACCCCAAACCACCCCAAACCACCTCAAATGGCCCAAAATATCTAATCCAACCCAAAACTTAAAAAAATTTCAAAAAATAAAATAAAATAAAATCCGGCCCGGACCGAACCCGAACTGGCCGGGCCGGTTCACCTAAAGCAGGGCCCGAGCCCGGACTGCCCATCACCCGGGCCGGGCCAAACCGAACCGATGGACCCACCGGGCCCCGGGCCGGGCCAAACAGTAACCGGGCCGGTTCTGGGTCGGGCCGCCTGGCCCGAGTCCACCCCTAGGTAGATATGCTTTCTATTCTTCTGCCGAGTGAATTGAACAAGTAGCCTTTGAAATATCTGTCCACTCTCCAACTTCTTTCCCAATTCTCTCCAACCCACATGATTGCTAACTGCTTGAAATTATCACTACTCCCTAGGACGTCACTTAACCGTATGATGCTATCCACCCAACTCAACATATTTATTAATTATGCAAAAATAATTAAATCCTTGCTTTAATTGTGGTCCCAACAATTGCCCCTTTCGAGAAGTTGAGGCGTATGGGCGCACATGTGAACCCGTTAATCATCAACTTGTCGAAATCTTGAAAACATTTATACCTGTCATCCTTGAATACTGCTCATATAAACTCGACATTTGTCTGATGAGACATGTTGTCAACATGTCATTCGTATAACAAGATGCTTTTGTCAACTCGTCACTTTCCTGACGACATGCTACCTTCAACCCGTCACTCGTCTGATGAGGGTAGACGATTTTGTTAATTTTCGTGCAAGAAGTTTCTGATCTAATCCGTCTCTTTGACTAAAGTGAAGAAGAACGAAAGCTGATCTCATATCCTCTTCCTCCAAATTTGTGCTAATGATCATGTCTAAGCAATGCTGACGAGTTGAAACTTCGACCAGGTTGATGTCGACACTTCAGTTGGTCAAGGGAACTTCGTCTGTTATTAGCGATGACGAGTCGGGTTGCATGAACGTAATCAAAATCGTGCAAAAACTTTGAATAATGTTTCGTGTATGGTTTTAGTAATATCATCGACATGAATATTTATGATGTATGTCAATGTCGTTCGTATTGTCTCCTTATGTTTTGGAGCTTGTGTTGTCATGCTCTTGGAGCAAATGCTTCTGTTGTGTATTTTTGTAGTTTTGGCCAAAACATTACGGAGAATCGGTGGTGTTATACTCATGTTTAGCGTACATGAAAACCACACTTCTTCCCCTAAAATTCTGTAAGTCCCCCGTCAATTTGTGTTTTGACGTGCTGTAAGGCTTTGTTTGATGTACGTAAGCCACTCGTCAATTGTGTTTTGACGTTTTGTATGGCTTTGTATGTTAGGATTCCGTCATCGTCAATTCTTGACTGTACCTGTATGTGCAAAAAATATTTCGCTAACGTCGGTCGTTGGCTGGAACTCCGATGCTTAAGTTAGTCATCGTTTATAGATAAATGAAAGTAATAAATTAAAATAAAAAAATAAGTATGTATACCATTCAGCCAGAACTTAATCATTTTCAGCATAATCAGCCGATTCGATCAATTTTAGTGTTATCAAACAAGCTCTATTATTCATTTAACATCCACTTTGTACTATAAACGTTTGCACATTATTTGAGTTCATATCTTGTGATTAAAGTTAATCTAATCCATCCATTTACAAGTGATTAAAAGCTAAAATTTGTTCTCACTTTTCATAGAAAGACTACTTTTTACTTGAACTCATCCCTATATATATATATATATACATATGTATATGTATATATATATATTTATGTATATATATATATGTATGTATATATGTATATATATGTATATATATATACATCTATATATATATATAAACATATATATATAGAGTGGTCTTCATGTCAGGCCGGCCTGACGGGATGCTCCGTCCGGCCGAGCCCATTTGGGCACCTTCCCGGTGGAATTTTTTGATGAAATTTTTTTAGCATGTTCCTCATCAAGTCTAGTTTGTCCATACCAAATTTCAGCTCAAAATTCGATCGGGAAGACATTCAAATCATTTTTTGAAGTTGACTGCGTCAAAATATACATATAAAACTGCAGTCAACTTCAAAAAATGATTTGAATGCCTTCCCGATCGAATTTTAAGCTGAAATTTGGTATGGACAAACTAGACTTGATGAGGAACATGCTCAAAAAATTTCATCAAAAAATTCCACCGGGAAGGTGCCCAAACGGGCTCGGCCGGACGGAGCAGCCCGTCAGGCCGGCCTGACATAAAGATTTGTCTATATGGAAATCTTTCCGGTAAGGTATACCTTACCGGAGCCTCCGTGCGGCCTCCACGTTTTGAGGGCCTTCCCGGTGGAATTTTTCGATGAAATTTTTTGAGCATGTTCATCATCAAGTCTAGTACATCCATACCAAATTTCAGCAAAAACTTCAATCGGGAAGGCAGCCAAACGATTTTTGGAAGATAACTGCGTTTTATATGTATATAAAGGGTGCAGTTATCTTCCAAAAATCATTTGACTGCCTTCCCGATTGAATTTTTTGCTGAAATTTGGTATGGATGTACTAGACTTGATGATGAACATGCTCAAAAAATTTCATCGAAAAACTCCACCGGGAAAGCCCTCAAAACGCGGAGGCCGCACGGCGGCTCCGGTAAGGTATACCTTACCGGAAAGATTTCCTATATGTATATATATACATATATATATATATATACACACATATATATATGGAAGAGTTCAACTAAAAAGACCTCTTCCCGTGCAAAGTGCGAAGATATGCACCTTTTCATGTTTCGCTTGCACCTTTTCGTGTTTCTGTTGCACTTTTTCATGGTGGCGAAAAGTGTGGTTTATTTACGAAATTGCCACCACGATTTTTGTCGAATTTAGTGCATTTTTGACTCATTTTAAACCATTAGATATGGAAATGAATGCACAAGATTCATTCTTACTTTGAATGGGAAGAGTTGTTTGTATTTGAACTATCCCCTGTACATATATGTGTGTGTCAATTCTTCTTATACAATTTTAATTTTGATAATAAAAAATTCGTCCTAGCTGCATCGGTGGGTATAAGGTTAGACACAAGTCTAATGACGTCCCAGTTTTAATACCCTATATCTAAACATGGTGTTCAAACTTCAAACCGGCTGGTTCCGTCCTATTTTGGAGGATCCAAACCAGATTTGGACCATTCCGGCCTAGGGGTGGACTCGGGCCGGTTCGGGCCTGGC